AAGTTTTAATATGGGGTATCTTGGGTTAAAAAGTAGGTCACACAGCTCCAATATGGTAAAACCTTCTTCACACTCTAGGGGACACTGTTCTTGTTCAAATGTTCTAGAAATTTGAACAGAGCGTTCATTATCAGGTGAGCGTGTTTATTTTTACATTTTGCATTTTTCTTTCAATACAATACAATAAAAGTGGATATTGACAAGCAAGTCCGAGCAGCGTAGCGGTTGGAGCGTACAGGATAGCATGCTTTATCAGTGATAAGTTATCACACCAGATGCTCAGGACTTGCGTGTTCGCAATAAAACAGCTTTTTACGTTGTAAGCCATTGTGTCATGTGTAGCACAAAATATCAATTGAATTGTATTAAACATGAAATGTGTAACTTTTATGGATTACACAAACACGAAGTACCCGTGCATTGAAAAACAATGATATATTTTTTAAATGTAATGCTGGGATTTGAACCTGCACCAGTATGGTTTAAAGGCCAGCTCGCAACGACAACATAATAAAGTCTCTTGCAAAGTGTATAGTTACTGTAAATGTGTATTACTATCCATACGCACATGACTTACATTTTCTGAAGTGCACTGATCCATGTCATATTCATAACGGTTCCGAAATAATGAACAATGCTAAAAAGTCTTTATACTCCCACGTAAAACGGGTCTAAAATCATAAACATATTTGTTTACAGTTTCACTTGACACATATATAAATACCCCTATAATCACACCCGTTATTTTGTAGCAATTAGGGTAGAATATATAAATATTTAAATGCCAGTTTTAAACCGGAGTTCCAAGATATGTTCTTCTTTCATGTCTATTTTATAGGTATAACTTTATATTTATATTGTTTAGGGAAAATACTTACCAAGAGCACAATTGTTCTACTTGCAACTAACTGACCTATTTGCCACCAGTTAACGAATGTGTTTCTAATTTAGGTCAAATTTACAAAATTAAACGTTGCAACTGTTTGAAATTAAAGCAGGATAAACATTGCGAATACTTTAGTTACTTTTTGGGACAAGATATGTATTAATCATTTAGTTCCATATAATGTACGAGCCTGTAGTAAAATTTATCTGTATTTATAGAGTAAATTTAAATGATTAAAACGAAATGAACCATTGATCGTAGTGTTAAGTAACGAAAATGATATTTTCCGACTTTTCTTTGTACCGATTTGTTCACTTCGATGTAAATTTTTCGTTCAAGTTAAGTCGTATTTTGAAGCGGGTCATGCGCATAACAATCTTTGAAGACTGGTTCTAATGATTCAAGGCTTTAAATGAGATGCATTAGCTTCCATTTCATACGCAAAAAAAAGGATGCCGCCAGCAACCATTCTCAAGAATGTGGAGGGGTTTGATAACCTCTCCAATAACCTAAAGCTCCGTGTCCATCCAGATTTTTGCCTTTTCTTGAACTGCAGCTATATCCAAACGACCCAAAAACTCAACAGATGTTTGCGATTTGTGGACTTCAATGTTACCAGTAGTGTTTAATATAAACTATTTGATAAAGATTTGCTATGTAACATACACTAGTTTATTTATTCTGGCATAGATAAGTGCTCTACCATTTCACCTAACACGCTACAAATGCGGGCGACACTAAAGTCTGAATTTAACATACCCTGAGCATTTCCATCCTGTTAGACTATTAATATGCACATTCTTGCATAAATTTCAACGGCTTCAAACTGTCAGAAATGGAATACATGATATAACTTTGCTAAATGTCTTTTTTCAGTTGTACACATGTATCACCACTTATGAATTTCGTCCGCAAATGCCAGTTTGAAAACATATCATATTCTGATAGGCTACACTCAACGAAATAATGTTACTTTGTTAATAATAATAATCAAAGGAAATTTGATCTTTGTAACTCTTAAGTGAATTTTTTATACAAACTATTTAAGTATCGAGAATTTCACACTTACATCGGAAATCGAAATTCAGTCTATTGCGAATCTTGGGCGAGCTAAGAGTTTCGAGCCAGCCCAAAGATCGATATTCATCAATTTTGAGTTTACTTTGAATTTCGAGCCAGCTCGAGGAATGAAATTCGTAATTTACGAGTAAAAAGGCCGAATGACGCTAAAGTTGAATTTCGAGCTAGCTCGAATATCAATATTCAATAGGCTTATAACGGATTTCGTGCTAATCTTGAATCCCAGATGATGCAAATGCCGAATTTCTTGTTAGAGTTGAATTTCGAGCCATTTCGATGATCGAAATTCAAATTTAGCGGAGGCTGAATTTCGAACTATGGTTAGAACCAGTCAATAATTTCTCCTACGCCTTTTAAACTACTTATTATTTACAGTAAAATGTTCTAATTAGGCTAATATAATTTCTAAGTAGGTATTGATGTGTTCATAGAACAAACTTATATATTCTATAAAGAAAGTATCTCAATACCTATAAGTGAAATAGTTACAAACATGGATTTTATAACCGTTCTTTTAAAAGGTTTTAAAAGTTTTTTAAGTAACGCGAAACCTAATTTTTGTTAAAATAATCTCCGGATATGAAAATAATAGAACCTAACATGTACTTCATGTACCAGTTCAGTTAGCTCGATACCTAAGGCGTTGGATTGTGAATTGGGCGATCCAGCTTTGATCCCCGGGCGGTGCAAATCACTTTCGTTGCGATTGATCATGAAATCCAACCTACGGTCATTTGCACTGTACCTGTGCTCTGGTAAGTACATAAGTTATCAGTTACTTGCGAAAGTAAAGGCAACTAGTACTGGTATAAGGCTTGGCATCCTGCCAAGGAACATTGTGGTAGCTGACCTGTGCTTTGGAAAATTCAATGTGGCTTACTGCCGTCATCCGGAGTATGAAAAAACTAACACCACCACCATGTGCCTGAAATCCAAATATTTTTAACCGAATCATATTTTGGTATCGATAAAAGACGTGTTCCCATGATATTAAAAGCTGCATTTCATAAAGTTCATAACACCAGAAAAAACTTCATTCGTTAATAAATGATGACTTCCGTTCTTGTTCTGGTATAGATGCGATCAAAAGGAGTTTAATAAGCGTTAACGTCTGCAGCCTCTTTGGTGCAAAATTGAAAGTACATTTTCTGTTGGCATGATAAACTCCACCTTTGGGTTATTCGTACAGAAAATCAGCAAACACGGCATTACGTCTGCCAACAATATAGACCTGGCACTTTTGCATTTGACCCTATAGTTATTAAAGTCCGTCAACGTTAGGATCTTCATCGATATGAATGTACGTTGTATATAACCAGTTGATTAAGAATCCTTCTTAGCGCAGTCGGTATAGGTTTTTCACACCAAGACTACAGACGAAAACTCGTAAGTTTGCAATCTGGCTCAGCCACTTTTATTTCTTTTTCATTTTAAACCATTACCTAATCTCGATTTTCTTAAACCTCTTGCAAACCCCTTTTTTATATGTATACTATCTACTACTATAAACGGTTGCATAGAGGTAATAAAAGTGTATAATAAAAAGAAAATGCTACTTAAAATGTATCTTAAAAACCAGATATAGTAGAACGATTTCAGACTAATTCTTGCAAGAAGGTTTCTCTAAAAAAATGTGTATCTTACGTGGCGTGGCGTTGGTTATGAATCGAACAGATGCCTTCATTTCGCTAGCCCGGCATCTAGGCCAATACACCACACCTTACTAAAGTGTGAATAGTATTTAGAAGATCATTTTTTCGTACACATTTTATGTAGTACTCTTGTGTAAACGATAGGCCTCGTGCATAACGGTAAAAATGTGTTTAAAAATTCCGCATTTACAACTCTTGACAATTTGACATGTTCAGATCTACTTATCTCTTACACGTAGATCTGATTTCCACCGTATTTGTTTCGCCTTTATTGTGATTTGGATTTCCAGAGAAAGCACTTTTAGCAATGCAATCAAACCGTCCTTTATAGGTAGGCATTAGACGGTATATCAAATTACCTACCGGCTCTTTTGTTAAAACCGGTCTAGTAAATCACTTACCGAACGCTTAACAGGTCTGCAAATATATACCGACCTGTTATTGTTCTATTGTTCTCTATACAATAGAAAATACATGTATGTGAAGTCGAGAAACTCGTGCATTACACAATATTCACCGTTAAGGTACATCAAACTTGTGAATTTGCTACTCCTCAACATTACATGGCAGTTGCTGAATTACAAAATAGAGAAGAGTTATTATAAAAAAAAGTTAATAGTTAATAAATATATAGGGATATATCACCATTAGAGTGACTTATTGATTCCAAAATCAAAATATGACATTGTTGCACAATTCTGAAACTGAAAATTACCCACATACTGCTATGTCAAAATTCTGTTTAAAGACTAGGAATTAAATTAAAATATTTTCATAAACATTTAGTCAATATATCAATGCAGTGCACCCGAATGATAAAGTTTTGTTAAATAACCTCCTTTACGTATCCAGAACTTTTCACGTGCTTCGGCATACATTTTTGACCCGCCATTTTATCAAATCCTTCTGTTTTTACGTCGTTTTTCCTCGAAGGATATCATGTTTATGCTTCGCTTAGTAAAATAAATTAAAACAGATTCATATTCCCATGAACAAAAATATTCATAGAACAAACCTAAATACACAGAATTTCAATTCGATTGATTTATACCTGACATAGTAATATCTTTCTTGTATTTATTTACATTTTGTCGGCTTTCTGTTGACCGCATAACGGAAGGAAGTAAAAAATATTCATACACAGAAGTAGACCTCACCTGAAAGATCGGGTAATTTCGGCGTATCTAAATGAAAGTTACATTTCTTTTATCACTTTATTTTCGTCCTTGTTAAAAAAAATATATGTGAGCGACATATTTCAAATACACGTAATATTTCATGGAACTATGAACAATCGCGTAAGTTCTTTCAATTTTGTACAATTTGGCGGATATACATTTCGTATGGTTACCCGCCTGTCGTAAGCGTGATAAAATTATTGTTTGTTACAACGGGTACCAGGTAATCTAACATGGCGGAGATGTAGACACGCTGCTGCGGAAAATTTTCTTTTCAAATGATTTCAACTTATTCACGGTAAGATCAGATGTATTGATTATAATTTGTACACTGGTACTTTTTTCAATTACTTTATTCCACAAATAAACAAACCGATCGGCCATGTTGTACGATGACATACCATTTACAAATAATTAACTTTCGTTTTCATTCATCAAAATGTAAACAAAAACAAGAGGTTCTCACATGGCCTGTAAAAACGATTTTATTAATTCTATTTTATTTATTTGAAATCTTTATGCAACTTTATTATTATAATGTAGTTTTGGAGGTAAGTTAGCCTGGCCTTTATATTGTATTAGAAAAATATTTCTGAAACTCATGAAGCGTGAAATGACATGAATGAAAGTGCATATAAAAGTAACTCGCTATTGTGTACTGATGTGCTCAAAATTAATGGAATTTAATGTGGATATATTATTTTGGAATTTATTTCAATTGTTGTGTCATTGTATTTATTAATTTGAAAATATTCATTTCTTGGATAACTTGTGGTGATAATTTGTTATGAACATATTGCTTGAAATTTAGGAAATATTGTAGTGGCAACAGTAATTTTTACCCCACCAGGATGGGTAATAAAAGAAATAAGAAAGGGAAAAGACAAGTGTTTAATAAGGCGACTGGAATTCATAGCTTGAATTATAAAAGGAAAATTGTGATGAAAGATGAAAAGTTGAAAAATAAGCTGAGGAATCTTAAACATGTGGAGCCATTCTATATTAGGCAGAAAAAAACAAGGTTTGAAATATATACTAAGTAGCCGTGCTGAAACTGCAAATGAAGAACCAGTACAGCATGAGTGTTTTAAAAACTGGACTGAATCTTCCCAGGCAATGGAAAGTGATATCATTTTAGATGGTTTTTTGAATTGTGAAAGACAACATGGTGTAAGATACATGCATGTAATAGCTGATGGGGACAGTTCCGTCTATGCAAATATAATAAAGAATGTACCTGTTTGGGGGCAATATGTAGAAAAAATTGAATGTGCTAACCATGCCACTAAATGCCTTAGATCCAATTTAGAACGATTAATATGTGAGAAGCCCCATTATAAAGGAAAAGGTAAACTGACAAGAAATAACATTAGAAGAATTTGTTCTGGTGTAAGATGTGCTATTGTAATGCGAATTGCCGAAACCAATAAAATGACAGCAATTAAAAAACTTAAACAGGATATAAGAAATGCCGGGAGACATGTCCTTGGCTTACATGATTTATGTTCAACAGATTTTTGTAAAAATAAGGAAAATAATTCAGACATAACAAAATCAGATGATAGCAAAACGGAAAATACCAATAATGATGAAGAAGATATTATAATAAGCCAATGCGAGTACTGGACTGATTCGGTAAAAAATTATTCTGAAACTGAAATTGAAATGTTACGAAAGGGCGGTAAGACAATAGCTCAGAAAAATTTTAATATTGAAGAGTTGTTAAGAGACATTTTTCTATTTTTGAATCGTCTATCGGAAAAGGCAAACCGACTGATTGGTAACTTTACGAGTAATTTAGCTGAGTCGTGGATGAGCATAAAATGTAAATTTGAAGGGGGTAAAATGTTCAACAAATGCTTCCGTGGTTCATTTTACGCAAGATGTTATGGTGGAGCACTAAGGTCTTTGCTAGGTCCAGCATGGTCACCACAAGTTTACAATAAGCTTACAGATAAACGCCCAGATAGAGTTTTATTAGTACTTATAGACAAAGGTTTGTACGCTACAGATGTAGCTAAACGTGCCAAAGGTAGTGAAATAAACAGGAACAAAAGGAAATTGAAGAAAATGAAATCATCTCTTGAAAGCACCAGTAAGAAAGCAAGAAAAGAATACGGCGATACTGTGCTGCAAGATACAGCCGATATCAGTCCATCAAAATTAAAAAAGGAATGTGATATGTTTTATAAATCCAGCATATCTACATGCAATAGTAAATTAATTGAACAGCATACACGTGGTCAATCAAGTAACCTTAACTGGTTTGCTGAAAGAAAGAAAAGACTCACAAGTTCCGCATTTGGAGAAGTGATGTCAAGATCGCAAAATAATAACAGTCCCAATTTAGTGAAAAGGCTTCTCTATTCCAACTTTAAAGGTAACATGTATACTTTGAAAGGCTTAAGTGAAGAGGATAATGCAAGAATTGAATACATTAATTTGAAAGAGAAAGATGAAAATATTAAATACAAAATTGATATTCCAGGTTTAATTGTTGACAAAGATAATCCTTTTTTAGCAGCCTCAAGCGATGGTGTTGTGGTTGGATCCAAAGGTCCTGAAGGTCTCATTGAAATTAAGACTTTATTACAAAACAAAAAAACAATGATCAAAGAATCTGCAGAAAATGATAAAGCGTTTTGTTTATCAGTGCAAAATGGCATTATTCAACTGAAAAAAATCATAAATATTTTTACCAAATACAAGGTCACATGAATGTTATGAATTACAAATGGTGTGATCTAATAATTAGAAGAATAAATCCACATGATATGTTTATTCAACGAATATACTGTGATACAGAATTATGGAAAAAAGTTATGATTCCCAAATTAAAGGCTTTCTATTTCACCCACATGCTACCTGAATTAGCAGTTCCAAGACATGGTACTCTATCTGGAATAAGAAAACCTGAATTGCCATGGGTATGTTCCCAATAAATGTACTACTAATTTCTTACACTATTAATGTTTTGGTTTCTTTCACCATATTTACATGTGCTTACATATATATCATCCTATGTAATAACTTACCATTTATAATAATAAATATATATTAATTGAACCTGTATCTTTTGCCTAATCCTTCATTTTTATATTTTACAGTTTTGTGGTACGTCATGCAAGAGATCAGAGAAAAAAACTCTAAGAGAAGTGAAGGTGACAAATTGGACCAAAAAGACTTGCATACTCAGATTAAGACAGACAAAGATATTTACATTGCCACCCCATTAATACCAACACCAACACAATCAAGTAAAAGGTGATTTATTTTAATGTATATATAACTATATATAGTTAAGATCTTTAAAGAATTCTGTTAAATAGGAAATATTACCAATGTGCACTCTTTTAACAGCTGTAAATTTGTTTAGGAAATACCAATATGGAGAAAACATGAAAGTGTTCTTTAAAGGCAGGTGGTCTTAAGTAACAGGTAATTTTGTTTCTTACAATATTGAAATGTACTTTTTAAGTTCAGTTGGTATCTAGCAGTATTAATGTTTAGATTGCACTGTATACAGTACGCTCACCGCGGGTTTTGCTTTTTCCGCGATACCACCGCGGACGATTTTTTTTTATCGCGGACAAACGCGGGGGTTCGTCCGCGATGAAAGCCTATTTCCCCCGCGATCCCCGGTGTTCAGTTGTTTCCACCGCGGACAAAATTCTGACGACCGTTCTTCATTCGTCGATAAAATCAGTCACCCGTTTCCCGCGGGGGAACGCCAAGGTCAGTTGGTCAGTATAAATTAACCTCCAAAAATAATAGACGTTTTATTTTTTTTAACGTCATCTTTTTTACACAATGACTTGAAAATTGACCACAATCGTCTCCTTAAATGTTATTATACGTTAAATTTTTTGAACGGAATTTGAAATAAAAATAATTACAGCTGTACCTGTTTTTGTTGTTGTTTTTAATATTTTTGTTATAAACGTCCACAAAACTATTCGTCCACATACCAATATTTTTACAACTGAAATCGTCTTTTATCACTGTCATCTTTACTTTTTCATTCCTTGTGGTTCTCAAAGTATTATTGCTGTTAAACTATATGGGAGCCATAAATATGATACTTAGTATAAAAAAAGGACATTTGTGCTGATTTCTCAATGATGACTGTCGCTACAGTACATGTCCTGTAAGAGGTCGATGAGTGTGAATACAAGACAAGACATAAATAAAATACATGTACATATCTTAGAAATAAAAGAAAAAGATATTTAAACCATCTATAAGATTTTATTTGTATGCAATTATATTCTTTAAAAACGGGTAGACTTGTTTGTTTGTGTTTTTTTACAGTAAAAACCCCGTCGAAAATGGACATGAGAAATATGCATGACACTTGCCAAAAAGTTTTTGTATACTGTACATACCGTATATTTGTTTGACACAAATTCACCCATTAAAAAAATAATAATTAGGCTGCCTTTTACAAATTATAAAATTACATTATTATCCTCGGAATTAATTTCAATGAATGGTTTATCTTGATGTCGAATACATATTATACATTACCCAACACAATAACAAGAAGAAGAACAAGAAATACACTGCATTTGTACATGTACTTTTATTTCAACAAAAAAGAAAACAAACAAACAAATTTTACATATAGTTATATGTACAGTACATGTTACAGTACGTACGTATACTGATGTTTAAATACAGTAATTAATTTTTAAAATTTAAGGTTTCCACCGCGTTGACCGGTGTTTGACCGCCGCGTTCCTCCGCAATTTACCGCTGCGTTCCGCGGGGAAAACGGTTTCAGTCGCCGGTTTATGTCCGCGGTGGTGAAAATTTTCTGTCCGCGGGGTCACGCGGACAATATCTGAGCAAATTTTCGTCCGCGGTAAACCTCATCCGCGGGGTCACGCGGGTTTTGAAAAAGTCGCGCTGAGCGTACTGTACATGTATAAAGAAGTATTTTTAAATTTTTAATGAGGTTTAGAATTTTCAATATACCCTTATTTCAATTTTATAATTTTTGAATGAAGCTGTTATATTAATTTATGTTCATGCACTTTTTCACTGTGTACAGTAACACAAATGTTGACAAAATATTGTGCATTACATGCAATCCTTTCCTATCATGATGGTTATAAACTTATATTATTGCCTTTATACACTATAACAAACTGTAAATTGTTCTCAAATTAACTTTTGTTCACTATTTTTAAACATTAATTTTGCATAACATCCAAATAAATGAGCAAATTTAACTTGCAACTTTATTTTAAGTTTAAAAATGGCCAAAATTATAAATATTTATTTCAGATTTTAAGTGCCTTCAACATGTATTTGAAAGGGATAATTAATATTTTTTATACAAATTTGCAGATCAACACGTTTGAGAAAATTAAAATTCCTTGGGAGGAGAATCAACCACCAGTGGACAGAATCAGACGGCTCTCTGAATTGGTACAAAGGCACCGTGCTTTCTGTTTCTTCTGGAAAAGACGGAAATCCTGATGCAGTATATGAGGTGCTATATGAAGGCGAAGACGCGTCATATGAAGTAGATTCTTTGATCAAAGACTATAATGAAGGCACCTTAACTTTCATAGATTTGTAATGGTATACTTTATTTCTCTTCCAATTTACATTATACCATGTACTGTATGTTTTTATATTTAAAAATTGATTTTAAAAAATATTTAAATAACATTATGCATAATATCTTTTAAATATTAACATCATATTACAACAGCTTTCAATGTAATTAATCCTATATAATAATTTACAGTTTCTGAATTTATGCTTTTTATGTTTAATTAATTTTGCAAGAAGGTCATGTTTCAATTCATTTTAATGAATTATTACAAGAAGAAATATTATCCTGCTTATCTTATGGATTATTGCAGTAAATTTTTGTATCAGTAAGCCATGTCCACAATAGTACACCATACTTAACCTTGCACTACTTTTGTGTACATGCTATGTAAACATTGGACTTAGATAATGCTGTGTTTACTGGCCTTATTGGAATATAAATTTTCAATTGATAAATAATTTTTTCAGGTAATGGAGATTCAGTGTCACTAAAATAGATGTTACTTTAAAAGTTTTCATTCATCATATCACATATTTATCATTGGAAGGAACTTTATTTTGACATACAAGTTTCATGTGCTGCAAACTGATTCAGGTAAGGCTTTTGCTTTTATTTTAATTTTCTTTTTTCTTTTTAGGCAATGTAACAGCTTCTTTATAGGTAAAGGATTAATGCCTCAACACTTTCCTTTTCAAATGTACCTCAGAATACTTCAGTTGAAAGTTTGAATTTTTGACCTAAAATTTTCAACAAAACAATATGGCTGACATTTGATGCACCTTAACAGATATCCCGTAAATAGGAACAAGGGTCTATGTATAGGATAGATCATGAGTATCAGTTGGATGTGAGATTTATCAACGAGCGAAGCGAGTTGATAAATCTCACATCCAACTGGTACGAGCGATCAATCTGACTTAGACCACAGGCAGTTTCCTTTGTTTAATGTGAAGATTTAACATGCTTAAACGGTTTTTTCTTCAACAGTTACATAGGGATATCCAAAGTTTTCTTATTCAATCTATTTGGCCTTATTGTATGCCACAATTGCACGAGAAAATGGCATAATTCATGTTCTTTCATAAGTTACCTAATACACAATCTTATGAATGATTGATTTCACATTCCTTTATAAATTTCTATCACAATAGAGCAGTCAACAATTCAAAATTTTCGAATGTGAAAACATTACAATTTCGCAACTCGAGCGTATATCAACTCAGAATTTTTGTTGTTATTGCCATTGATTACATGACGTAACACAGTACACATCGCTTGAATAAGAAGTGAAAAAGCAGTTCCGCTAACCGAAAAATTCTCTTAGACTGAACTCATGGGATTAAGAGTGGGCTCATTCGAGAAATGGCAGGTAATTTTCATTAAACATTTCCTTAACGGTTTAACCAACCTAAGGGGCAGGATATTTGTTTGTTGTCCGGCTGAAGTTAAAAAATTTTTACTTGACGTATAGATTCGTTTATTTACTGTATGCTTGATATTCACACTGCTCTGGTTTTGTTTTTACCTCATTCATTAACTGAAAAAGATTTAAATGTTATCATTCCTTCAATATAATGATAATTGAGGTTTATTTTCATTTTGTCCAAAATGTTGTTTTTTTCCACCAGCTTAAAACCATATTAATAGTAACACCATACATGTATATTGTACTATTTTGTTCCGGTGGATACATTGATAGAGGCCATGAAGACAGACAGACAGAGAGACAGATATTTTATTTAGATTTGTACACAGTACATCATGTACATACATGCATAATCCATAAATCCATAAATATATAACCTGTCAACGTGATTAACGAAGAATATAGTAAATAATATAAAAAGTGTTCGTAGTCAAGTTTACAAAACGGTACAAAGTGGTTTCGTTCAGTGTAAGTGATATTTGATCATATAAGCAAAGCACGTTTAACATAAAGCAACCGCAGCCCAGTCACCGTTCGGAAACCCCACCTTCTCTCCCACCAGTGAAAACCCCTTTCAAACCAGAATGAATGTACATACACAGGGTCTGCTATTTTGAGTGAGCCGGACATTCAGGATGCGATTATTATAAACACAGTGCCTGAAATTGTCGTTAACAAAAACTTTTGTAAAATTTATATTACATTATAGATTGATTAACGCATTACATTTCATTATTGCTTGTGTTTTTTTCTTATTTACAAATACAGTAACTATTCTTGTTAGATGTGAAATGAAGAAATAATGGTAAAAAGAACTAGTGCTATCTGTTAAGTTTTTTAAGAAGAAGGGAATTATACTACTTACTTCACTACATGTATCTATATGTAACCCGCTTTAAACGTGAACATAACGGGGTTTTCCTTTTAGTTGAGTACAAACATGATAGTTATATCAAACACTTTACTGTGATGTGTGGGATATATCAAACACTTTTCAACCTCTCTGATTGGCCGAGAGGAAACAACTGTGGTCTAAATAATTATATTTCACCAAATTAATAGAAATAAATTAGCGCATACGGCTGTAAGGACCCTCATAACATATATTCTAGATTATTTGTGAGAAAAACGAACTGGCTACGTATACTGTTCTGGCGTTGAAGTTTGTGTTTCGCGATATTCATGAGTACAATAACGCACATTTAGCCTTTCTTTATAGTTTGCTTTTCGGTATATCTAATACATTTGCCGAACTATAGTTATATACGACGATTTTATTATTGGTGCATATCGATTTAAAGTCAACTTCTGCATCTTTCTTTACCAAAATATTACTTTCAGTGAGAGAATAGTTCATCTTAAGTATAAGACCGTTTTTCTCATTTTCCCCAGTTTTTTTTTATATTACAATTTTAATTTTGTATACCAGTATATGCAGTACTCGCCTGTTCTTCGCAAGAACACGACTCCCGCTTCCATTCCAGACGGCGGTCTTATCAAACATATTAGTAAGGGATTGTGCTAATTAAAAATACACCGAAAGAAAATTCTTCCAATCATGAATGAAATTCTAAGAATATTGAAATCAGCCATCATAAAAAAACAACTTACATGACGGCATATCTACGTGTATTACTAATGTTTATTCATAGAACCCTGTCTTTTACTTTCCTTTGAAAGAATCGTATATTCTTATTATATTAGAAATAGCCTGATCATCCATTTACCATGAAATTAATTATATATACCAGTAAAAATTGTGTTCCGTTTTTATGATAGATATGAATCTTCCTCAATATGTGTATATGTTATTATTATGTTATGTATTCATATATCAAAATAATGATCTTACATTTGCCTACTTGAAATAGAATCTCGACAAGTTCTGTTTTCATTTTCTGTTACTCAACTCAACAAGTACAGAACAATTCAATACCGTGACATAATCATTTTCGGAATAATTTGGGATTCGAACATAACACAACTTTGGGTTTCCTGAAGAGTTTTTCAACATCAATTTTGCCCCATCTTACTACTATGTTTACCTTTTAGCCCTAAGTGCTCTGGAAATCTATCAATTCAATGCGTGCCTCTTTTGATGTTGATTAATTCAAAATATATAATGACTAGATTTAAATGACATTTAAAAACATTATGTCCTGACAATAACTTGACATATCTCTCTTTAAAGGCAAAGCAAAATTAATGCATTTACATCTTTCCTTTCACTTTTATGTAAATATTTCATACAGTTTATTGGCATTATGATTGAAATAAAGGATTACAACTCTTCGATGTTGCAAACCGTATAATCAGGGTGATTCGTATAATAATATTATGTGGCTACCAGTAATTAATATAAAATGTGGATCAAACTAACTTTGCGTATAAAATTTAAGTATCAAATGCATGCATTTAAAACATTTATAAATTCAAAAGGAATAGTCTTTGCTCTTGAATGTACACTGGGGGAAAAGACAATAGATATAGCCGGTATATCTTCCATATACTAAATCTTGTATTTAGATAGCTATTTTAAAGTCAGTGTTTGTTCTTTATTCTGTGGTAAGCAGGATTTGAAAACTTTCTTGGATGAAAAAGCCTTTGGTGTCTATTCAATCTTACAAAAAATTAGTGTCAGTAAACGACAAATTTGTACGCAAAAGGCTGTAAACTTTGTTCTTTAGAAATCTGAACGACTAGAACTGAAAGACTAGAAATGTATTCTATATGGCAGCCACATAAATGTCCAAATTTTATTCAAAAGCAAACGAGTTTTTGTAACTGTAATTACAACAAGTGTAAGCATATATGTCATGTTTAACGCAATGTGTTTGTAAATTTTGAAAACGAATCAAAATTTTTATAAACAGCACGTCTGTATAAATTGTAGCATCTCCATTTAACACGAGTATTCTGTGTTATATGTACAATAGATCCGTGGAAACTAGGTTTCTACATATCAAGTATTAATGAATTCCTTTAAAAACGTAACAAGTTTGTTTATTTTGATATTTTGTCTGTTTTATTTTACAACGGTCTGTCGGTCTTTCTCTTACCTCACAATTCGATCGAAAAGCGAGACGCGCAGATTATATATAATTTCCAACTAGGTCAAAATTCATAGAGAACATATATTTTTTATTGAAATTTTAAGAATTCCCTGACTTATACTTAACTGTACTAATATGCTATGGCCTATGAAATCCTTTACATACATGGAAAGATCCAAACATGCATGACATTTTATGACTCTATAAAATCATCTTAAAACTACTTTCAAATGTTCTACTGGGAACAACTTTTTATAGTTTTCGAGCTTTATCATGTCATGGTTTTGTATTTTACTTTAATTTGTTTGTTTTATTTTAATTTGTCAGGTCAGCGGGCCCCTGAAAATATATAATGTTCATAATGACGTCAGCGGTAAGACAAAACATAATAGTAGTCACTATATTTTGTTAATTAATGGGTTTTATATCAACGAAGTCGTAGTTTTCGCTGTTTGGGTTACAGTTGGAGTAGTCATAGCAATTCTGTGAAATAGTCTGTTATAATAAGTATGTTGCAAATTCCTGTGGCGATTTCAAGTGTCAAATAGTCTATTGAAATCATTTAAAGTTGATATGTAGTTGTGATGTTCACCATTGGTGCACGATTGTGTGTGTATATTTAAATATCCACTTAGGCATCTTTGACATTGAAAAACATGATTGTCTTCATCCGAATATATTTTTGACCAGAAAAAGCTTTCGTTTATAATGATAAGGTCCTCTGTCTTCCAGAATGTCAAACATTGTCATGTTATCCGATCAGACTTTCTTGTATATAGTATTTCGGAAAGACTCGTTTTTCAGCGTTGTTCTCGTATATGTGTCTAAAAAGAAACTTCATCCTATTCTTAAATGTTAAAATAATTATTTCATATCACTAAATGATAGTAACTATCCATCGGTACTTATTGATGATGACTCTTCTTAATGCCTCCTCTCAATCGTGCTATTGTGCTTTGACTTTTCCTAATTTCTCGCATACCTATCGGTGCCATCTGTTCCAAAATATCTTGTTCCTTCAAGTATGTTGATAATTGCAATTATTTGAATCTCTTTATATGAAATCTATTTAGTGTTATTGTAAATAATTTTCACAATATTGTTTTTAATCTTGATCCCATTTCTTTTTCGTGTGTGATATTATGGTAAGGATAAAGTGTCATTTGCGTCTTTGTGGCTTACTTCGGTTCTATGTAAGATGTCGGTATCAAATGCTCCTAAAGTCAAGGCACAGCCTTGTACTGTTGTGTCGAGCAAGGCGGAAGTCAAAACATGAGTAAGCTGATTATTGTCTG